AAATTTTCTTTATGCATTGGCTTCCCTGCCTCTGAGATAGTTCAGGCTGCATTATGATCATATTGTGTTGCTTTAGCAAATTAAAGGAATCAGAAGCCAAAAACAGGGAACTGTTGGAAGAGATGGAGGGTTTGAAGAAAAAACTGGAAGAAAAATACAGAACAGATTCAGGTAATTAAAATTCCTATGTTTTAACAGAGTTCTAACACCACCTGTGATGTTGCCTTTTAGCTAAACCTGTTCTGCTTTGCGTTTTAGGTCTCAAACTTCCAGACTTTCAAGATTCCATTTTTGAATATTTCAACACCTCTCCTCTTGCACGCGATTTGACTTTCAGAGTGAGTTATTACATAAAATAACTATAAAAAGTGTGATAGTTGAATGATATTTTTGTTACATAAAATCATGCTTGAGGGCTATATGGCACATTGGGATCTGACATGCAAGTCAAAAGATTGTGACTCAGAATTGCATGTCTAGTAGATGTCAGATTGGTTGGCATTTTGTAGGGAACCTTTGGGAAATAATCACAAAAATTCATATTTATTATTTCCCATTCTATCTTTTTTGTTTAGGTTAATCTCAAACATTTGACTGACTAATATATATTCATGGTTCTTTGGAAAGGCTGGCACACCCTGTTACAAATAAGGAATTTAATGCTTTGCAGTTGGAAGATACTGGTTAATAAAAGGGAAAACACACAGTTCAAGGAGTGTTCAAACAGATATGTAAAATTGTTGGCTCCAGATCTTAATGGAATGGTTAGAGTTGAAGGAACTGGGAAGAGAATCAGAGAACCCACAGATGTTGGTACAATAAGTTTATCGTGACACACCCTCTGATTCTTAGAAAACTAATCATACGAATCACAGCTCCAAGTGGGAGTTCCAGTTAAATAAGGTTTGTGCATTCCCAAAGGAAGCAGCTGTTAAATGCAGCACTGAATCACATTTCCTTACTTCTTGAACTCTTGATCCATGACAATTTTCTGGGATTTTTTTTTCAAAACAAATAAAGTGTTTAGGTTAGAATCAAAAGCTGGAACTGGAAAGAATAAGCTGTTACGTTTGTGGAGCTGAGTTGAAGAGGCTCAGGTTAAAACCTCATTAATCTGGTTATATTTTTATCTTGAATTGTGTACTCACTGTACTTTGTTTTGGTTTAGATTTTTTTATTTATTTATTTTTCAAATTGTCACTGTTGTCAGAAGGAAAACCTATAGACATGCTGGGATATTGGCCTGTGCATACTGTGCATAACATGCTCTTCCCAGTCACAAAAATATCCACACTGACCTTCTTGCTGGAACAGCAAGATGCACTATGTGGATGAGATGAAGGGAAGAGAAAGAAGCATGATATATGCCACTATTTGTGCATGGTATTATTGACCTTGGTATTTTCAAATATTACATTAAGAAGTACCAGCTATACTTAAAATAACAGCATGTAGAATATCAAGCCCATAACTAATCAAGATTCCATTCTGTGGATCCTGAAACAAATATATAGTCACTATGGAAATGCAGGTGACATTTTCTGATTAATTACATTACATTTGTTGATTCTGTATTTAATGGCTTCCATTAACAATATTTCTTCCCACGCGTTCTTATAAAGATAGTCTTTGTCATCTGCTCTGGGTTGATTTAGTTTGAATAAATATCATTTGGCCATATAAAACATTTTATGTAACTAGACTACTAATACACCATCTAAAGTTTTCCTGTGGGTGATAAGTGATCATTTTTATCCCTCATATCCATTACAACAAAGGATTCTGTTTCTTCTTCGTCTACATCTTCTCTGCTAGCCTTTTGGGAAGAAGTAAGTTTTTGCTAGTAGTTTTGTTGTGACCTGTCATAGTAAAAATTGCCTTCTAAAATTAGATGTTTGCTTCTTCTCTGTAACTTAATCAACTAAATAGAGCTAGTTAAGTTCTCTTTTAATATGTCTGTACAGGCTTACTATTTTATATTTTAGCTGTCTATGTGGCTAAAGCTGAATCATGCTTAGCATCTTTAAATTGTTAACTTGATACTACAGTCTGGTCTGTAGTGGCCCAGCCCTACCAATCAATTTATCACCAAAAAAAATTAATAAATTAACAGCAATCTGAACATATTTAGTGAGCTAACTGAACTGGAGCCATCATCCTGTCTAAACTTGCTGGGAAATGAGTGATTCATTACTTGTTGCCTTTTGTGCCAATTACATAATTTATGTGAAGTCTAATCTGATGTTTGTTAATCATGGTTTTCATGATGTCCTCAGATTACAGCAATACAGTTTTCTGCTTCCACACCCAGCTTCTTTAGCTGTGCAATTGTAGCATACTTCCCCCTTGTGCTGGCAATTAGTAGTTGCTAATGTAAGTGTGAAATTAATAGAAGGCTTGCCATGAATGCTAGAATAAAATTTTACTGAAATACAAGATAACATTTTTAAGTAGACATGATTCTTCTAATAACAGACATGTTAGTAAAATATTTTTAAACAACTTTTTAATTTTTTAAAGAATTGCTGACTGCTGTATGCTAGAAAAATCCTAATGTAGTAAGATACCATGAGACATAAGCTATTTTGTGGATGATTGCCAAGCTTCTCAAACACCATTTCATACCTGTATGCAAGAGATTAGACACAGCCGTGATGGGAAAAGAAGGCTGTTGCAGCATTTATGCTGCCTTCTACAATGTTTTCCATTTCAGTATTTCCAACTTTACAGCTTTTTTTGTCAGGCAGGGTTTGTTTTCAGGGGAGATTATTTTTTTAGTGGAAAGTTGTTAAATGAATGTGTGCTGCATACAGAAATGAGCATTGGTTTTCACTTCATTTTTACTGTGAATTGGTAATTGTAGGGACCTTGAAAATCGATTTTGTTGATGTGAGAACAATTCATCAGATCTGTGCTATCTAATCTACTATGTTTGCTCTTGCTTTTGCAGACCAGTTCTATTAGTGAGCAGGAAATGCAGGGTCCCAAGTCAGAAGTTTCACCATCTACTTCCGTTGTAACTGCAGAGCAACAACAAGAAGTAAGGGAGCTATTACTTTACCCTGAAGCATAATTCCTTAGAAAGTCTGTCTTGTTCATGATAAATATATATTGCAGGATTCATTATGAAGACCAGGATTCAGTGTTGCTTATTCACAATGTGTCAGTGTTAATTGCACCTGCTTTGAGGACAGTTGCAAATGAAACCTTTTCACTGGCTCTGTGTATGTTGATGTACCTCATTTTCATATGTTTTCTGTATTGCTGCTTGCTTGTTAGTGTGCAGGCTTTCCTGTGAGTGCTTTAAAATACAATCTGTTTTTATTAAATAAGAATGGCGATGTTTACAACAATTAAATTTTTTATTACTTTCAAAAAAGGAAAAAAGAAAAAAACAAACATAAACCACTAAGCTTTGCCACCTCGATCTTAAAATAAATTTTTGAAGCTTCATTTTGCTCAATTACAGTTTTTTGTGATTCAGGAACCAATTCGGCTTCAGAGGATGCCTGCTGCTCCTTCCCCCACCATTCAGTCCATTTCTCTAGCTGTACCAAAGGTAGGGGGACTGTGCTAACCTTATTCCCAAGAGCAAAGGAAAAAATATCTTTTATAAATTAGCCCTTCATGTTTGTTCTTGTCCTGTTTGGGTTTGTCATATGTTTGTTAGGTCTGTGTTTTTAATAAAAGGTTTCTAAATGCAAGTGGATGGTTTTGGATGTGTCAGAAAAAGTATTTGGTTGTGGGTTTGGGTGTCTTTTGCAGTTGGAAGGAAATCTGTTACTTTTGTCTTGCAGCACTTTTACAAGCTGCATTTACTAAAAGAAACCCAGTTTTCATAATGTACACTCTGTTATACTGGGGGGGGGGGTGGTGAAGGGAGATGCTTGCATTTCATGAATGCAGAAAGTAAAAAAATTGTTGTTTGTTTTGTTTTTTTTATCCTGAATGTATCTTTCAGCCTAAAGCTCACCAGCTCAGTATCAAGTCATTCACAAGCCCTACCCAGTGTAGTCATTGCACCTCTCTTATGGTGGGATTAGTTCGACAAGGTTATGCCTGCGATGGTGAGTCAGTTGAACTTCCTGTATTTTCAGCAATATCCTGAAAAAATCATCCCAAAACACTGATGTGCTTTAAAGCAACCATTTCTTTGAGGAGGGAATGAAAGAGAGGGTTGGCTACCACTGAATGACTCTCCTTTTCTTTGTTTTGCATGGTCATACTTCTGAAGTCAAAGAATGAATAAAAGCCAGCATGGTTCCCATTCATACTACTAGTTAATTCTGCTGCCATTAATGCTGTTACACTGTGAGCTGAGGCGCAGGGGAGGCCCCATTCCTGGAGGTTTTTAAGGCCAGGTTGGACGAGGTTTTGTGCAATCTGGTCTAGTGGTAGGGCTCCCTACTCATGGCAGAGGGGTTGGAACTTGATGATCTTTAAGGTCCCTTCCAACCTTAATGATTTTATGATTCTAACTTTCAGGATAATCACACTCCATTCAGCAATGTATATCTTGCATATACACTGTCAACTGCACAATTCTAAGTTTGTGTCATTCTAACAGTTTCTCTACAGACAGATCACATTGTCTTTCTTTAGACAACAAAAAATTCAGACAAGAAAAATAGTAATTTAAAATATAAACCTAAAAATTAAGGTAATACTGTTTGTCTAGTATAGAAAAAAAGACTGCAGAAATGCTCTGATAACATGGATCAGAGTCTCTCAGTTTTGTGCTATCCTGATCATAAACCCTGTATGTTGAGAAAGGCATTTGCTAGTTTTTGTGGCCTGCAGCCTGCTTTACTCTTCATTACTTTTATTTCGAATGCCGTCTCCTGATGTATGTATTACTGCTGAGTTCCATGTGTGACTATACCGAGGTACTTCTCTTGGAAAATACTTATCTGTATCTTGATTAGACCCCAAAGTCTGTAAGCAGTCCACAGATCTGTTCAGTGCACTGCAGTATAGATAGACTTATTGTATTTCTGTGCCCAACTTAATTCTTCCTAGTGGCACCCTCTCCTCTGACATCTTCAGCATCAGATTCAGATTGCCTTATCTGCCCTTCAGGGCTTTTTTCCTGGCAGGTCTTCCTTGGCTGTTCTTCCCTGAGAGCACCTATTGCTCTGCCAGCACTCGCCCTAGGGCTGCCTTTTGTCTTCTGTTGCTGACAGTTCTGAACTCTAGTTTTGCATTTCTTCCTGCAAGTCTGAAACAGTCTTTTTCCCTTAGTGTAGCTATCAACTTCACTCTTTTTTTTTTTTTCCTGTGTATTTTGATGAAGATCCTCATCATAGTTTTCCAGTTTGCCTCTTCTACTCCAGATCTTGATAGCTACAGAAAAAACTAGAATCACATTAACATAAGAATAGAGATGACTCTAGTACAACAAAACTTTGCTTTGTTCACTCCCAATCACTTGCTTTTTCCAATTTTGCCTCTTTTTAGTGCTGGAGACTATGGTAAAATACAGCTATGCTTCCAAGAAGCCTGTGAAGCTGGTTATATCCTGTGGATTTTCCTTATTCTGCAACTGGTGTGCCTTGATATGCACAGTCCCAAATAGTTATTATGCCTCCTGAAAGAGCTGAACTTGTTAAGTGGTCTTGGGCAGCTCCTACAGAACTTTGCGTGTGTGACTCTTTGGTAATCCCTGTCCTCTTTCTTGGAGCAGAGAGTAGCCTGCTCTGGGCTGTCCTCCCCTCCTGGCTGTTCCTTGGGCATCGTGCAGAGGACATCCGTTGCACAGCCCATGGCTTGAAAAGAAGCAGGCTGTTTCCAGGTTTTCTGGAATCTTTTGGCCCTTCATAATTATGGGACTAGGTTTGCATGGGGCATCTGCTGCATGCCCACATCTGATAGTTTATGTTTAGGAGGAAGGAAGCACAGGATAGATCACAGTGCTGTGATGCTCTCCGCTGCTTTCCCAAGCCTGCTAGTAGAAACAGGGTGGCTGGGACAAACCAGGCAAAAGCACTGTGGAAAAATCTGGCCCAGATATTATATAACATATTAACATATTAATTAATTCTGCAGTTCTTGTAGTCTGTCTCATGTGAAATGGCATAAATCCTGAGTTTTTTCTGTGTGCTCTGTTGTGCTCTACAGACAAGAGACCTCTGTCCCTTGCTGGTGCAGCACAAAGCAGTATAAATGGGAAGAAAGGGTGCAAGGATTAGGATAGATTTTTGCCTCTATATTTAAATTCTGATATATATTGATAGATATGCCCCTTCCACCACACAGCATTTCAGTCCTTGTCCCCTCGTTTCTTTTTATTATGCTTTTAAGTCCATTGCCTGTGTTTCATAGAACAAGTTAAACTATTTTGTCAGTGTAGTTTTACTTTGTCTTTGCAGCGTTCTCGCATGCTTGGATCAAATTAAATAACTACTATGTTTATCTTGTCTCCTACCACTGCCCTGTAATTTTTATTCCCCTTTCATTAATACTTTTTGGTGACTGGGTTAGTTGCTGTGTAGCATCAGTGAGGCTGAACAATTCCTTTTCCTTCTGGAAAATGCTATCATAAATTCCCTTGAAATGTGGACTCAGTTCCTGCCCTTTATGCAAGCAATAGGCTTAAAAAAGAGAAGAAAAGCACTTTGGAGAGTCTCATACAAGATCTGTGTTCACTCCTTTAGCATAGTGGGCTATTGCAGTATTTGCCAATTTCAGTGTGATTAATTAATTTGCTAAGCATAAGGGTAGACTAAATTAATCTCCTGTTATGTTTGACTCATACACGTGTTTCACTGTGGATTTTCTCTTTTGCACTCAGTGTGTTCATTTGCATGCCATGTTTCCTGCAAGGATAGTGCACCTCAGGTCTGCCCTATACCCCCTGAGCAAGCCAAAAGGCCTCTTGGAGTAGATGTGCAAAGAGGAATAGGAACTGCCTACAAAGGTTATGTCAAGGTAACAGTCTTTTGTTCTTGGATAAGACAAGAATACTAAACTTCACTTACAGCTATGCAGCTTGGAACCTCTTAAGTATGTTTAAATACCTCTCCTAAATTGTGCTAAAGCCTCAAGGCTTTGTGTGCCATCTGTGTAACTTAATTTAACCTTTGTTGCTTTAGATGTGGGAGAAAAGGTTGGTTTTGCTACAAGAGTTAAAGGTTAGTAGATTAGTAGCTACAATCTCATAAGAAGCAAAGGGGAAAGAAAAAGCATGCTTTAAGGAAGAATTTCTGTTATTGTTGATGTAAGCATAATATAAAAGGTAAACTGTCCTAACATTTTGGCATTTGTGGAATATACAAGCCCCACTGTTTGTCCTAATACTAACTTAATATATTTATTAAACTGTAACAGGGAATGGTTGAACTTAAGGGAGGAAAAATGATTGCTTGATTACTTGACATTTTTCACTCCATTTTGAAGGGCAAATAGAACATGTACAAATTCTGTTGATCGAAATATAAGCTTTTCTAAATGTCCCTGCTTTCTGTGTTTACTGCATGTGCTTACATTTAATAAGCAATCAGTTATTTATACGCAGGTCCCAAAGCCTACAGGAGTTAAGAAAGGGTGGCAGAGGGCTTATGCAGTTGTCTGTGACTGCAAACTGTTCTTATATGATGTGCCTGAAGGAAAATCCACCCAGCCTGGAGTTGTTGCCAGTCAAGTCTTGGATCTCAGGTTTGTAGTATTATGACAGAGTAGAAATTCTTTATAATTTTTTCCATAACAGGAATATTTATTTGTAGCACACAAGAAACTTTAAGATCATGAGAGCTCCGTTCTGAGAAGACCTGTGTGTTTTGAATATAGACTGCAGCTAAATTTAGGCTGAATGAGTTGGCTCAACAAGAAGTGACTTTATAGTAACTTGCACTGCAGTCACTAATGTTTACAGTATTCCTAGAATTCCATGTGCTCGAATGGCAAACAAATAGATTTTGGTAGTTTGTTTTTTCCCCCTTTGCTCTGACGTCAACATTGAGTCACAGATCATCCCATAGCCAGTAATTTCAGAAACATTAGAAAAACTGAAGTAGTCTTCAGAAAAGCAGCAACTAGTTTATAGTGCAAGTGGCTCTCAGCCTGCCTTCTCACAGCAGTAATTTTTTCATGATGAACCCTGTGAACCACTGAACACTGTCTACAAAAGATCTGAGACTTAACATTGATCGGAGTAGCCAAGAAGTTTTTTTTATGTCAATTTATGGATATATCAAGAAAGTGTAATACCTTTAAATGCTACAGCACCTTCAGTCTCTGTTGAATATCACATTTGCATGCACAAGGACCTTGATTTATACTTTTTCCAGACAGCAGAACCACGGGCTTTCACCAGTACTGCTGTTCTGTTCTGACATTTACTCTCTGAGAGCCGCCAGTGTCGGCTCTCTCTGACATGCTGGCAGCAGAAGCAGAGGTGTTGGAAGCTTTGCAGTAACAGCATTCACATCAGAACCTTGCTTGAAGCTACTCAGCCAGCTATTATGCCAACGTCCCATGCTCTTTACCTGCTTATTGTAGCTGCCTCTTTGAGTCTGTCTTCTGAGCATTTTTAGGTGTTTTAATAAATGTTAACCATCACAGCTATGAATTATAGCATGGGCAAGTTTCAGGCATTAGTGTCATCTTTACACAAAAATTGGCAATTATGGTGATCAACTTGGTCAAATTCAGTTTAAGAAGGCTTGTGTAGACAAGCCCTCTGGGGTGGAGCACTTAGAAATGCAAAAGTTGTTCTGATGTCTGTTTATTTTACTGCAATAAGAGAATAAAATCTGGCTGTTTTGAAAACCTTTATTTGAATCCCACAAACTATAATTATGTTGCCAAGAGCTTTTTATGTGATTTTTCTTTTTTTCCAAAGGCCCCTCTCTTGCTACACATTGAGGTATGAATTATTCATTTCTAATGTGTCTACTGGGCTGGAAGAGCAATAATCTTGCTGCTAATTGTAGAATAGGTGTGGTTGATAAACCAAAACTACACGAAGCCACCCCACTTAGCTTCAGGTGGACTGAGTTACACCTACTGAATGTTGTAGAAACATAACTAAAGCTTGTGAGTTGTTTGGGCCAAGGAGCAAATTAGAGCATAACAAAGCAGTGATGGCAGTTGTGACCTCTGTGTGAGTTAGATTTTGCTGCATAAAGCTCATCTGTGCATGTATGTGATTCTCTTGCTCTCTTTCTTACTAGAGATGAAGATTTTTGCGTGAGCTCTGTCCTGGCATCTGATGTCATACATGCAACTCGTAAAGACATCCCTTGTATATTCAGGGTATGGCTACCAACTTACTCTTAAAGAGAACAGAAAATAAATACTAGTGTTTTGTTTTGTTACATTATCCATATTTAATGTTTATTAAGTAATGCAGATTTATAAGAATTTACAATGGGTGCTGAAATGTTTAGAAGAACAATATGATGCTCCTCTTTTAACCATATTGTAAAGAAAAAAAGTCCCCTTTTGATGCTTTATTGTATATAAAGTTTGACTTCTTTTATTTTCTTTATTATAATTCAGAATATTTTTGTTTCCTCTTCCATTGGTGTTTCCAGATCCTGTTTTTTTTTTTCTTTGCTTTGGAGGACTCTTGCTTTAGGAACTGATGCTGTAACAGAGTAGGCTGAAGCTGGGTTTTGTTCACTGCTTCTAATTCGCCATGTATTGACTTGTAGAAAAAAATACATTTGAAATTTCAGTTTCCCTAATTTCATATTTAAATACAATAGGAAAAAAACGAACATAATATAATTAGTTACAATAACCTTTTTGATATATGTTCTATTTTAATACTGTATTTAGTTTTTAAAACATAGGAAATAAATTCCTTTTGTTCTGTGAATTATGTTTAATCTGGAATGTTAAAATATAGATAAGAGTACAGTAGTAGCCAATATCTGAAATCCCTCACTTTTGAATACTGAAACTCCCTGTTTTGAGCATCTCAGATCCTCAGTCATTTAGAATCAAATTAGTGGAACATGGGAGCCAAAGGAGCCAACAGTCCCACGCAATCCAAATCATTTAGTACTTTAGGGTTTTGCTTAAAAAGTATCTTGGCTCCTTGAGTACTTCTCTGGCTTTGCTTTTCTGCCTTTTTTGTAGAAATATTTTCTGCTGTGAATTTTCATTCTTTGGTTTCCTGCTACTTTTACCTTCATTTTCCTTTTGTTCATAAACGTATTTTTTTAAATTCCTATCTGCCTGCTCTCTTCTCAAATTAGCAAGTGTGGAATACTATGGGAAAAGGTAAAAATGAGCTATGCAAAATGGTGGTTGATTTGTTTAAGAACAAGGCGTCCGTACAGTTCAGCCTGCTTGACTTGCTGCTCCAGTTTTTGCTTGCAGTTTTTAACTGAAAGAGTCCCTAAGGAAAAAAAATAAACTTTTTCCAAATATCCTCATGTGAGAATACTTTTGTGGATAGATATGACAGTGTCTCCGCAATCTGTTAAGTTTTCCCCCTGCTAAACAGATTTGGTGAATTAATGAGAAGCCTGGTGTGTGAGTGTATCTATTTAGATACCCTGTTGACAGGAACCAGAGAAGGTGCTGTCAAAGTCCACCTCTTTTCTCAGTTTTATGCCTTACTTCAAAAGAAGGAATTCCTAAAACTGGAAACAAGTGATACCTGATACATGAGAGTCTATTTTCTCAATTTTATTTACTTTTAGGTTTGCATCTTGCTGACTTAATGACATGGAGTGGCTTCTACACAACAGTTAAAGTTGTTACTTTTCATCATCTGTGTGAAAATGTGGTCCCTCTTTAATATTAATTACTTTATGTAACATGTGATGATATCGATGGCCCACCAAAGACAGATTTTCATTTTTTTGGATCTTCCACCAGCAGAAAGCAACACCAGAATGCTGGCAAGCACTAGACTATTCCCACCTCTGACCCTTCATAAAATGGAGAAGAGGAAGAACATGTCTCAAATTCAAACATTTCTCCTTGGTAACCAGTTTTTAAAGCTGAATGTTAGGCTGTCCTAACATCCAGACACTGCAGTCTTAAGTGCTGCCGTCAATACTGTAAGAGTGTCTGTAGTGGAGTCCTTCCACAGATTAGCAGTTTGAGTTAAGAAGCCTTGAGTTTCATAGCAAATACTGGATTTTTGTGTGGTGAATAATGCTAGGTCTGTTATGACCAACCTCTCCTGTTTTCCTGCATTTGGCTGCATGTAAGATGCCACCTTCAAAAGACTGAGGAGTAATACATGATGGTACTTCAAAGAGAAAACCATCACGGGAGTCTGGTTTTGCTTTGTTTTCAAATTTAGAAATATCCACTCTGCCTCCATCTATCTTTAAAATATTAATGCTTAGTTACAGTTTAGGATGCGAACAAAGCTTGATGCAGGGTAATATGAGCTATTAGCAGTTGCAAACTAGTTCTTTTCCTACTGCTCTTCACTTTGATCTTACTTCTGAGTTCTGTCCTCTTGTCCCAAGTTTACTTCCAGTTGTGTGTTGCTTTGTTTTTTTCTTTAAGATTAATATTCTTGCTTAATTCACTCTTTCAGAAAGTCTATGTTACATAATCACATCATCCATCTTTTATGGTGCTTTTCTTGCCAAGACATATAAGCTGAAGATGTGTTATCCTGTGTATTAATAGTCACAGCCTTCAGTTTTGCATTTTTGCACCTTTTGCTCCTTTTTTTTGTTAAGACTGTTGTTACTCTGAAAATCTGTTGTGAGGGCTGATACTGGCTGATGGCCTGTTTGCCACTGGCTGAAAACATAGTTCTCGTGATCTCACAATTTCTATGGTCTCTTCAACCAAGACACTGAGCTAGCATTAAGAATTAGTAGGTGCATACTTTGGCCAACAGAAGTTCCTGGATCATTTTTCTATTGGGAATGCATTCTCCATTGAGATTTTCCTGAAAATTAAGTGAAGCCATTCTGATTTTCTTTTCACTTAGGGAAGTGGGAGAATGCAGTACTTAGGTCTCAAAGGTTGTTTTCCTCCAGAGCTTTTAATGCAGATATGACATAGTCTTCCCTCTAGGACAAATATTTTGAAAATCAAGTATCCAAATCAAAATATAGAACATAGCAGTGCCATTGGATTTAAATGCATCTGACTCAGACAGCATGTGTGTCATTTTCAGTAAGTTACTAGAAGTTGGTGGGGGAAGGGATCAGGATAAATTATTGCATGCTACTGAAATCCCTGTTCAGATCAGGAAGATGCCTTTTGCTCACTTGTATTAATTCCAATTACTAGGAAAGGAATATAGCATTCCTTGCCCGTATTTTAGGATTCAGGATGATTAAACACAACTGAGTATTTTTAAGCAAAACCACTGAGGCATGTGAGATTTTTTTTCAGAGCACTGTGGCTATTTTTGCCATTGCATACCACATGGGTACATCCTTGCATTGTTAAGTGTATTTTACTTTCACAGTTCTGTGAACTATGTAACAGTGACAAAAAGGGCTTTTACTACTCTTACTAATTTCACTCTCTCTGTCTGTTAAAAGGTGACAGCTTCTCTCCTAGGTTTGCCTTCGAAGTCTTGTTCTCTACTGATCCTGACAGAAAATGAGAATGAGAAGAGAAAGTGGGTTGGAATTCTAGAAGGGTTGCAGTCAATCCTGCACAAAAACAGGCTGAAAAACCAGGTTGTGCATATTCCACAAGAAGCCTATGACAGTACACTGCCTCTTATTAAAGCAAGTTTAGCTGCTGCTATTGTAGGTATGTTTGTTTTAACTTTTTTTAAGTGTGTGAGAGTTGTTGGAGCTTTTAGATGGGCTTCTGTAACAAGAACACTGACACCATGAAATAAATTCCTCAGCTGAATTCCTTCATAGCAGTTTAATAATGGGGGAAAAATGCTAATCTTGCATTGATACTCAAATTTCTTTATCCACTTGGAGTAAACAATACTGTTTAGTTGTTTTAGGAATACCTTATATAGCATTCTTTGGCAGACCATGTGAACTTAACCAAAATTGATTTACTGTTGAAAGTCTGTTTGTCTGGAAATTTTTTCCAGCTGTTCAAAGAAAACAGTCTGTTTTAAAGGTACGATCGTGTATAACTGCATTTATTAGCCTGTTTATTTTTTTTTTTCCTTTCTGGTTTAGATCGAGATCGAATAGCAATTGGTTCAGAAGAAGGACTGTATGTGATAGAGGTGACCCGTGATGGTAAGTGGGGCCTTAATGCATATGGTGATTACATACAGAATAATGAACTCCATCATTTTTAGTGCTGATATGATATAGGTTATGCAAGAGCCCTTTGTGTATAGTAAGTTCTCCACAGTAAGTATTAAGCACTCAGTGATTTGGTGAGAAGGATAAGTGAATGTGAGATACAAACACTAATTTGGTCATTATCATTACGCTCAGTTGACTGGGTGAAATTAAAGGGATGGGCTACTGGGCATATTCTGACACATTTTCTCCTTAGCTGTGTTCCCACAGCAGGTAGCAAAATGCTCCAGCACACACAGTAGCAGTTGACACACAGTGAATTGTCAGGCACTTACTAAATAGAACTTGAATGAGAAAAACGTGACATAGGAGACTTGTTCCAGCCTGCACCATCAGAGGACTTAAGCTGCCATGAGTGAGAATATAGGCAGCCAGTGCAAGCAGCACAAGAGTTTGTAGACTTTCCATTAAAGCCACTATGCATCATTGTAATTTCTTCCAGAAATCTGACAACCACTCACATTCTGTTTCAGGCTGATGATGGCCAAAGCAAATACCTTGCTTGCCCCTTTCCATTAACCTCTGCATTTCCCTGACCCTTTGCTTCATCCTGAACCTGCTTTTTCCTTCCTCTTCTTAATCGCTCTGCCCTCTGCTTTGGGAAAAGTAGAATCAATCTAGGCTGTTATTTCTGAAGACTCATACCATGTCCATTCCAGAAATGCAGTGTGCTCCAGGTACCACAGCAAAGCGTGTGCTGTGTAGTCACTGGGTAGCCCAGGCCTATCCCTCTACTGGTGAATTATTAGGCATCACTGCCAGAGCCTAAAGGAATTGTTTTTCCTTTTAACCTGATGTTCTGAGCACAAACACAAATAACAATGGGAGATGTGCCTTGGTGTGGTGGCCAAAGTGTGAAGAGCAAAAGGATTGCTGGCACATGAGCATGGGCATCATCGGGGGTCAAGCTGAACAAAATGCAATTTTAAACATGGAAAAGGAAAGAACAAGCCTCATTAACTTTACAGTCTGCTTCCAAAATAAGATACTTGTATTTTGAACAAACTCATGAACAAAAAAGGTAAAAAACAGTTGAGTTAAACTGTAGAAGTAATACATTCTTAAGCAGCAGCACAGATTTAAAATGCATTAATTGCCAATATTTATCCTTTTCCAAGTTAACATAGGAAATATTAGTTATTTCTTCCTCTCTGACTTTAAAAGCACCAAACATACCTAGTGATGAAATCATCCTTTCTTATAACTCCTGAGGCACTCTAAATTTAATCAACAATCTGAATCCATACTTTGTGTGATCTAAGAGCCTTCCTTGGCTCTCTGGTAGAATTGTTTCTTATAAAATAACTAATGCTTTATTCTCCTGTGTTTATCATCTCTGAGCTTAGGTTATTCTGGTGTCTTTAGCTGTCTGGGAGTTGAGGATGTTGAGGTCAGTGATAGAGATTTGTAAAATGAAAAGATGCCTGCATCCATTTTCCAACTTTGGAAAAAATGCCCTAGGACACTCCAGAAGTATCCCTTTGACTATTTTGTAGTCATTGTCATTCAGATTTCAAAGAAGATATTTCTTTAAATTTAAACTTGATGGAAGAATTTTAATTTCCTTTTTCAATACAATTTAGTTTGTGACTATTTGAAATTTGGAGTGTAGTCATGCTAAAACTTGCATTTCAATTTAAAACACAGCAGTGAATACAGGTATTTAAAGACTTGACTTTCAAACCAAAATCTAAGTACAAAGTCAGGGATATAGTTTTAAGGAAAAGAACAAAATGTTATTGCTTTCTCTTGCTTAGAATAAGCCATTGGCCAATTCCAGGAAAAACTACTTTATACACAAAGACAGCAGATATTTGAAATTCTTTTTAGCAGTAATAAATGCCATTCCTTTGAGTAACCTTCCAGTGCTCACCATTTTCTTAAGTACTTAGATATAAACATAATTGAGATGCAAGTAATTCCAGAGATTCCAGGACAGCTTCTTTTATAAAAGAAAGCTGTACATTTAATTTGAAAGGTCATTTCATGAAGGAATTCTTATCTGCATCACTGTCTCATATGTAAATGTGAAAACAAATTATCAGTTTTGGTTTTAAGTTAAAACATGTTTTGTATGAATTTTCTGTGCCCAGTTCCTGCGTGTTAATAGCATTTTTATTAATCTTAATATCTTTTTCATTTAATGGCAGTTGCAATTTTCAGTGTTAATTAGCTGCCAGCTGCTTGTATCAAAGGTCTTCGGTCAGAGTATCACTTAGTTCTTGACAAATAAACTAAACAGTAAGCAGGAGTTTGAGCTAGGGAGAAAAAAACCTTTCCTCTCTGACAAAGTTCCAGCAGCTGTTTGTTTCATAGAACATTTCTTCAGACAAATCATCAGTTGGGGGGATGCCACAAAACACTTGGCTTTGTGCTCTGAACAGCTTAAACTTCTTGTTATAACTTTACAGAATTTGGTGACCTGGCTAGGTTACTCAAATATTACTGAAAAAGACATAGAATTTCCTGTTATTTTTTAAATTGTAATTCACAAGTATGTTGGATGCATTCAGTTAACAGAAACATTGATATTATATTCTAATGGAACTGGCTTATGCATATTATGTATTATGTTTCCTCATTTGGAATTACTTGGACTCTTCTGTTTGTACCCCATGGAATACTTATGGCACTTTCTTGAAAGTGCCCATATACCCACAATCCCAAAAGCCAAACATGCTGTACCTGTAACCCTGTTAGCTGCTTCTATCCCAGCTTTAAAACAGCTCTTCAAACAGTGGGAACTCCCCAGCTTCTCTAGGTTACCTTTAGAGTTTCAGAGTCTTCACAGTGAGAAGGCATTTCCTGGTGCCTGTCTTAGACCTTTCTTCCTACAGGTTAAGCCCTTTCCCCACTGCACATAGCATTTTTTGCCTTTCTCTGTACATGTTTAACATCCCCTTACTGTACTGCTTTTGTGTTTGGCTGAGACATTTACTGATAGTACAGCATTTATATCCTCAACTACCAGCATTAAATCCTTTGTATTTCTTCTCTTTGTGTTCTGCTAATCTGGTCTTCTCGTCTTCTCTCCATAATTTACTGAAGGTGCTGATGTTTTTTCCTGAAGGTGGGACCAGCTTCAGAAGAAACACCATCTTGCAGTGTGTAGATAGTACAGATTTTTTATTTTTTTTTTTCCTCCATTTATCTTAGAGGTTAAGAGCCTTTCCCTTCAAAATGTTGCTGAAGCAAGATTTTATATCCATAGAAAGAGTTGCAGGAATGTTTTGGTGCATTGTCCTGAGAAATAACAACAGAGCAATGAGCATGTGTAGTAAGTGCCCAGCCTTACCTGGTGCATGTCTGTCTTTAGATTAATTTTTCAGAGATCAGTATCTAACACTGCAGTCTGGTGGTTTTGCTGTTTAACTTACAGCAGCTCTTGCTTCCTTTGCAGTGATAGTCCGAGCTGCTGACTGCAAGAAGGTGTACCAGATAGAGCTTGCTCCCAAAGAGAAAATTATCATCCTCATCTGTGGTCGGAACCATCATGTTCACCTTTACCCCTGGGCCTCTCTGGATGGGTCAGAAGGAAACTTTGACATTAAGCTTGCAGAAACTAAAGGCTGCCAGTTGATTACGACAGGAACACTAAAGAAGAGTTCTTCAACTTGTTTGTTTGTGGCTGTCAAGCGACAGGTTTTTTGCTATGAAGTTCACAGAACTAAACCTTTCCACAAAAAATTCAGTGAAATCCAGGCTCCAGGAACTGTACAGTGGATGGCAGTGTTCAAGGACAAGCTCTGTGTTGGCTACCAGTCTGGGTTCTCTCTGTTGACCATCCAGGGAGATGGACAATCTATGAACCTGGTAAATCCTAATGACCCCTCGCTTATCTTCCTCTCACAGCAGTCTTTTGATGCCCTTTGTGCTGTGGAGCTCAGTAATGAGGAATACCTGCTTTGCTTCAGCCATATGGGAGTATACGTCGATTCGCAAGGTCGAAGGTCACGCATGCAGGAACTTATGTGGCCTGCAACTCCTGTTGCCTGTAGTATGTATATGTTTTTCTGTTGCCATATCCCTGTTGCTGCTTTACTTGTCTAAAAATGATCAGCATTGTATTCTATATTGCTTCGGTTTGTCTTTCAATATCTGCAGTTTAAGTTTTGATGAGTTAACAGGATACACGGTTCTTCCTGGTGGGAGTTTTGGACTTGGCTATCTCCTGGGCTGAGGCTCCTGCCTGCTGCAAGAGAAGAAGCCCTGTCTTGTTACAGGACACAGAAGAATAAATAATGGAACGTGAACTAACTTTTATGGAGCTGAGGGTAGTCCTGGATGCAGGACAGTACAAGACTACTGGTCTGTGAAATTCTGTAAAGGTCTTTGCTCTCCTAGAGCATGTGAATGTCTAGTTGTCTGTAGGATGTTTTCTGTGTCCTGTACTCAAAGTACAATAGGAAGTTGAAGGTAAAATGTAACTGCAACCCTAAGGGTTCATAAAGATAACAAAATAAGTGGTAAAAATTTGCTTTTGACAGACCTGTTGTTTTTTTTTCCCTGTTGGGAAAGTTTTTAGGGGATGAATTTCCAAAAATAATCTAGGCAGGTAATTTTTCAACTGCTCTTTCCAGGCACACTGGTTTGTCACGTAATTAGGATAGAGACACATGCAGAATATTTCTCAGTACTTGGTACTCAAAAGGCAGTCCATTTTAAAAGCAGAATTTCTGTTTGAAGCTCAAATAACAATTAAGTGTTTTGTATGATTGAGAACAATAAATTGTTTTCTGTTTAAATAGTACGCTGAGCAGTTGGCTTGATCAGGCCAGGCTCTAATAGCAATTTGTTTAATTGTCTTGAACTGAAATAGTTTGCTTTTTTCTGACCTAGTTTTGTACAGAAGTCTGAAGCAAAGGCCCAAGGAAACAATGTATTTGCAAATTTACTTTAAAATGCTATTAGCCAAAGCTAATGTTTCCTTTTCCCTTATCAACTTTACAGGATTTTTGCAATTCAGTAAACTAGTTAATTGTTTTGTCTGTTACTATTAGAAGGTGTTCTTGCTGTAAACTATTTTATGGCATTCTTATATGTGCAGTCCTGAGTGGTTTTGGCCTAGGGCTGTTTTTGTAGAAAGATCAACTTTGCTGCCAAAGAAAACTGAATTACTTTCCTTTCCATTAGCTTTGTCCTCCCTCTTCAGTCCTGGTGACTGTCACTGATGATGGTGGCTTTTTTTAACTATCCCATCAGGACATCATCCAAGTGGAAATAGTTCTCCCTCTGTTGCAGTTTCTGCTGTGGCAAAGGACCATGTTGCAGAGAGGTTTTAGGGTATGATGGAGAATTTGTCTCTAGGGCATTCAGTCCCCTCATGCTAGGAGAAGCCAAGGTCTCCGTCACAACAGTCAGCTCTGTTCTCTCGAGTGACCTGTCTAGCTTGTGGTTCAACCAGCCTAATGTGCTGATTCTCTGTTGAGTCAGTGTGGGTGCTGGGGGGCTGCTTAGCTTGAGTGTGGCACGGGACAAAGACTCAGAGCCAGCAGGTCTCAAAGCTGTAGTGTGGGCAAGCCCAGTGCAGACATTGATGTGTCTCACTGGGAACCAGTGAGATCAGAGCAAGCTTATCAGCTCTGACTGGGCAGGGCTGACCGTGGCTACCAGCTGGCCAGGCAGAAGCAGTTGGTGTTTCTGTCTAATGCTCAGTGGTATCCTTGATTTGGACATCCAAGCTAATCATGACCCCATAGAATAAATACTTGACCATAAACCACTCCTGGCATACATATTTATGAGAGCGGACCAGAGCTTTCTGTGAATTAATTTTTAAAATAGCACCACAACCTTACCTCAGTTCTTATGAGAAGATTCTGTGATGTGTTTAGTGTCCTGCTGGGTTATTTTCCTTTTGTTAATTGAAGCAGCTCTTTTCTCTTTTAAATTCCATAGATTTCTAGCAACTGCTCTTTACATCAGGACACAGTTGTTATATGAGCAGAAGGATGTCGATATGAAGCTCTAGTGATCTCTGCTTTTTGTTTGACCTAAAATAAACTTGTCTGCTGATGCCTTTTAAGCTTTAAAAACAAAAGTTGAGACGAGAAAATGGGTTGTGGGCTTTGAGCATTGTGACATTTTTCTGTCAACCTGATGAAAGCAACCCATACATGAACATCCAAAGCTAGATAATTGTTAGCAAAAGAGGAAGGAAATTGAGAACAGATCTGCATCATGACTTCATGACCCACCTCACAGATGGTGGCCCTCTCTTCCCTTGCACACAGCAGATGTATATATAGTTTTCTGCTTCCGAAATGAAGTAATCTGCATCTGTAGAAGAGCTTGCTGCTCAGTTCCTACCAAGTAACAAATTTCTGTGCATCTGAAAACTTCAGATGACACCCTGCAATTTCTTGAAATCATAATTTGAAGTTTTAAATACTGAAAGGGTCAAACTTAAATCTTCCCATAATGCTGGCAGTTTTTAGCAAATCTGTTATCACAAAAATATGTTTGAAAAAGGGACTGGGAAAAAGTGTTTTAAAATGTATCTTGTACAGAGTGTAAAACTGATAACTATTGAAATTTGCTCAGAAATGTCAGTTCTGGACTACTGAAGCCACATTAGTGTTTTCTGTATGTTTTTAATCTATGCAGGTTGCAATTCTTCGTATGTAACAGTGTATAGTGAATATGGTGTCGATGTGTTTGATGTTAACACTATGGAGTGGGTGCAGACTATTGGCCTGCGAAGGGTGAGTAGTTTTCTTTGAATATAGAACTTAACTGGGTTCGTTGCAGATGAGATGTTTCTTCACAGTGTGTGCTAGGCTTCAGTTCATTCTCTGCCTCCTTCCTCAAAACAGATCAGACCATTAAACATGGATGGCACACTGAATCTCCTTAACTGCGAGCCACCCCGACTAATATATTTCAAAAACAAGTTTGCAGGTGAGTTCTGAATAAGGGGAGAAGTGGGAAAATGATACAAAGCTCATAGGGTATTTTTAAGCAGTGTTACCTTTGCTTGAGATGAAACTTGTACTGGATATGTCTGGGTCAGCATGTACCTTTGTGTGAAATTGCATTGTGATGTTACAGCAGGAGCTGCCCTCAGTGTACCAGAAACATCTGACAATAGCAAGAAGCAAATGCTTCGAACTAGGAGCAAAAGAAGATTTGTATTTAAGGTTCCTGAGGAAGAACGGTTACAGCAAAGGCGGTAAGAATTTAATCATGGTATGTAACTTAATATCCATGGACATGGACAGACTGGGAATGCTAATAATAAAAATCACTCTGTTCCTTTAGGGAAATGCTTAGAGACCCTGAGCTAAGGTCAAAGATGATTTCTAACCCAACGAATTTCAACCATGTGGCTCATATGGGACCTGGAGATGGAATGCAGGTTCTCATGGACCTCCCACTGGTAAAATATATTTAAAAACTAGGGAGATATATGTGCATTTGTTCTTGCTTAGAAAAACTGTGAAGATGACCTGTATGGGGTTCAAGTACTCTCTTTATCAAACTATTCGTTTAATCATTTTGAGAAAGGTGAACCTTCCTGATTTGCAATGCTTCTAAATCCTGTACAAGAGGATACTCTTAGCTGACTTACGAATGAGAAACTGAAAGAAATAGATATCACTGCCAGGACCTTGTTAGTAGTTTTGTAAATAATCGGTCTTCTCTCCTTCCTTTTTCTTGTTTGTCTTCTTAAAATAACAGAATGAATTTCCTTCCCCCTCATCCTCTCAGCGTTCTGCTCTGCTATCACCTCCAGCAGGCTTTGAGCACGTCTATCACACAAGCCCCGTCTCTGTTGAAATCTTTCTCCAGAGTGGCCATTCCTCACTGCAAGGCTCCCCTCTGCTTTCTTCCTCTTCCTGTCCCTCCTCTGCTTCCCTAGCCAAGGGTAGGAGTAGCTACAAACTGTTAGGATCTGAGATGGTGTGCTTGTGGCACTGTGCTGGTTATACAGCAAAAAGCAAGGGGGAAAAAATCTGATGCTGTGGAGGTAACTAAAAGCATGTAAGTTGCAGTGCTTTATAGCTTTATTTTGTATTTAGCAAACACAACATTTTATGAGCTGTTTTAGTGTTAAATCCACAAGGGGAAGGGGCAAAGGTACACCTTTATGTTCTGTACCCTCCATTTTATAGCTGCTACTCGGGCTTTCTCTTGTCCTTCTCAGCTAGCCCAGATGAGTGTAATAAATTTGTCCTTTCAG